ATGCTAGCCCGATTCAAACGGTAATCGGTAAAGGCTTACCAAATCCGTTGATGGCTGAGGATTTGCCAAAAATCCTATAAGTATTTATTCTGAGTAGGATACACAATCATAATAAAGTTTAAGTTCTGCCAAACTCAAGGAAGACACAAATTCAGCCTGAAGGCCACCTTTCTTCAAGCAGGACAATTGAACCCACCTCAGACACACGAGGTAAGGTATACTGTCTCGCGAACACAAGACATCATCAAAAAAGCCTCTCCAGTGATTGTGGTCGTATCAGCTCCAATGACTGGACCTACAATCAAAATCCCTCGGAGATTAAGTAAAAAACCGACAAATGTATAACGGTCCACGCCAGGAGAAACTCCGTACAGGCAGATGAATCGAAATCAATACTTGGTCTTACATTCTCTACACTTGGGCTTGCCATGTCCCAACGTCAGTCAATGCATTACAACGAAAGTCTACTCTAGCCAACGCGTCGATAATTCCGTCGAAACAAGGCTCAGGATGAAACGTCAGTTCAAGGAATTAATTCAGGGAGTTCAATCATGACTCAGATACAAACTCCTGACGAAGGTGATTAGTTCAAAGTCAACCCAACGACACGAGCTAATTCAAAAATTAACACGTCAGCTTCAGTTCAAGATTTTGATAACGGTCAAGCGATAAACGCAACACCGGAAAAATATTAGCTATTCTACAAGGAACTGAATAGACTAAAGGAAGAAGAGATCGGGAGTTGAAGCCATTTACGGATCCTTCTATACGATTTACTCAACCAAGCATTGAAAGGATCGTAAGTAAAATCTATCTTATCCAAAGTATCCCAGACTCCTTGTAGGCAATAAAAATTGCCTTTAAATCTTTATCAGAGAAGTTCAGAACAAAACTGCTAAAACCTCGCCCGAAATAGTAAAAAGGGGAAAAACACTGATAAAAAGGGGGAAACGCAGATATCTCCCAAACCGTAAGGAATTTGGCGAAACGGAGGAAGCGAACCAAAGCCTTTGGCTTGGTTCGGATGGCTCCGTCTCGTCAAGATAGGCGATTTTCATATATAATTCGTCTAATTCCGACTTACGGTTTGAAAGTTACGGCCTATTCTTCGATCCATGCTCAGGAGCTCTCCTGCAGCTCGAATTTCGCCTGCACGATCAAGACCCAAGTCTACCTGCACACCTGAACTCATCTGCAGACCCATTTCGCCTGCAAGCTCGCCTGCAGACCCAAGTTTGCCTGCAGTCACAAGCTCGCCTGCACACTCAAGATCGCCTGCAGACCCAGCTCGCCTGTAGACCCAAGTCTGCCTGCAGTCCCAAGCTCGCCTGCAGACTCAGCTCGCCTGTAAGCTAGCCTGCAGACCCAAGTCTGCCTGTAGTCCCAAGCTCGCCTGCAGACCCAAGCTGCAGACTCGCCAGCTCACTGTCAACTGCCCACTTAGAGTATGAGAACAGTTACATCATTGGTCAAATCCCACAAATCAAGGGAGAAAGCATGGCGCTCCTCACCTAGCAAGAATAGGGCGGCTGACAGGACCCCCTAAGTGGTCACATCCCACAGCTAGGGTAGCTGGCTTCCTCACCTCCATTAGTGGTCAAATCCCACGAATCAAGGGATGGCCCATGCTATCCCTTGCCTATTAAAACCCATCTTCAGCCAGCATGAAAGGGGGATTGGCTGTTGCATATTCTGCTGGCAAAGGCTCCTTCATTTGAGAACTGAAGCTCTGGCAGCAACTTCGATCGGATCGTCCAAGGGAAGCAGACTCGGCGCGAGCACCGAGCGAGGCGTCCTATCGCCACCGAGGAACCCACGTTAAACAAGGAGGGCTTTCCCTCCACTTCTGTTGTAAACATTTGATTATTAGTTTGTAATAAGCTATTCTTATCAATACAAACGAAGTTTCCTGTTTTTGGGAGATCAAAATTTACACCTACACTCCTCTATAAAAGAATGAGTCTGGAATACTTTGGAGGAGGTATCTGTAGGCGTCAAAAATGCTGATAGATATCCAAACATAAGAGAAGATCACCCAAAAAACCACAAGAATTGACTTCATACTATCTTAGAAAGATCAAGACAGGTATGGACTGTCTCGCCAGCGAGACAGTGTTTGCTGTCTCGCCAGCGAGACAGCTTTGATATGATCAAAAATCAATTAAATAACTGCCACCCACGTGTCCATTAACTGCCAAGGGACGTGAAAAACATCGTGAGCGAAAATCACGTGAATAACTGCCAAAATAACGGAGTTTGAAATGTGGGAAAGCGGTTACAGCAGAAACTGCCAGGCAGTTGTAATTTCCGAGACAATATTTACTGTCTCGGAGGCCGAGACAGCAAACACTGTCTCGGCCGCCGAGACAGTAAACACTGTCTCGCAGGCTTAACTTCTTCGTTTTGTTGTATTTTTCAGTTATATGTCCCAGAGGCTATAAATACCCCCCTAGGGTCATTACCGACGAGGATCGAGCAATTTGGAGCAGAGAGAACAGTAAATTTTAAGTTTTCGGTGTGATTCCTTGAGATTCGAGCATCGACTTGATCTTAAGAAGAGTGATCATCTTACTTTGATAAGATATTCACTTCAAATTCCTACTTCGATAAACGAAGGAAGAATCTTTAAACCCCTTCATAATTTGTGATTTGGTGGTCCACGAGTCAAAGCACTCTCGGCACAGGCAAAGTCCTACAAAACAAGAATCGATAAACGATTTTTTGTGTTATTTTCTCGAAAATTGTAATTTTCTCAATTTTTCATTGTAATTCATTGTAAACGACCGAAGTTCAATAGAATTATCAATGGAAACGACTTTTGCAGAAAACAAACTGGCGACCATAGTGGGAGGTTCTTAATCATGATTAAGTATATATATATATATATATATGTATATATATATATATATAATCAACCTCAAATCGATTACAATCAGATCCATTCATCTCAGAACGATCACCAACCATAATAAAACTCTATTATTATTTACAATAATATTTTCAAAATTTTGGGGTTTTACAGCTATGCACTCCAAATGATTGTGTCTTTTATAGAATCAAAAAGTTTGAATATGAACCTCTAACATGTTGCTCTCACAACAGCAAAATCCACTTAGCAGATATGGATATTCCATATGAGTTATACGTCCTATATACAATATAATTACCCTAGGCAAGTGAGTTATAATAGCATTTTTCATTCACATCGTTTAGGGTAAGATTTGATAGCGACCTTTCTTCAAAGAAAAAAGAAATTTTTATATTTGGAGCACATGGCGAAATATATCATAATCTTCCTGCTCTAATTTCGTAAGAAAATAATTCTTTATACTTTCAATTTTACTTCTATGATATAGAGAATGAGATATAAAATTGAATGAGAATATTAGATAATGTAAATATGAGTGAAACCGTAACTAAAAGTTAGTGTGAATATGAGTCAAACCACAACTAAAAATTTAATGGATATATTACAAGTAAATTCATATAAAAAATCATTTACGAATTGAATGATCATCTATCTTTTGAAGACTTCAAGATACTAATAAACAGAGATGTTGTACTAGATTAATATGTTTATTTTTTGTTAATTCCTCTCCCATCAAGGCTTGCCGACTAACTTTTAACACCTAAAATTTTTAAAAAAATAACATGAGTAATTCAGCAATTCATTGAAACGAGCAAAACCAAAGAAATCCATAGCAATAAACACAAAGGGGGCTCAAACACAAAAGAGAATCGACAATCAAGGTTTGATTTGATTCCATGATTCAAGTTACAAAATCGACACCCTCTTTGCCACCAAATCCAATCAAAAGCCCCAAATTCTCAATTCGATTTGCTCATTCAATTTGCTCCCTGAGCCCGCAACCTCTCTGTTCAAATGGAAATATATGTCAAGTAATCAAAAGAACCAAAGTCCCCGCTCTAAAACTACTCTAATTTTAGTTCTTTGTTAAATTCACCTTATTTCAAGTAATGATATCAACTCCGTTAATCAAAAAACTAACTTTCAATCATCGACCACTCACCGGAGTCTTGATCACGAGAACGTCAGCTACATCCTCCTCGATTGGCCGCTCGCACCGTCGAATCGATAGTAAGCATCAGGATCAGCGAAGCACAGAGGGAACGACAAGTGCCACGTCATAGAATGGGCCCCAGACATACAAGAAAACCCTAGGAATCGATGATCGGAGCTCCTCAATCTCGCCGGAGATCGGAGATGGGGACGAGACTCGGCGCTAAAACCCTCATTCCGATCAGAATCCGTGTCGGGTTTCAGCCGAGGAGGGGGTCGGGGAGGAGGGGGAAGGGGGAGGAGGAGAGGATGCAGATGAGGATGGAGGAGGAGGGGAGGAGGAAGAGGAACTTGTCGTTCCACGTGAGGTTCGAGGAGCCCACACGGTCGACGTGGGTGCGGAGGGCGGAGGAAGAGGACGAGGAGACGGTGGCGTAGGAGTGGAGGATGCGGCGTCGACGGTGGTGAGGGAGGGGGATGCGGTGGTGGGGGAGGGTGAGGAGGGGAGGTCTTGGGCCAGATTAGGAGGAGGAAAGGGTTTGGGTTTTAAATGGGGAAGAAGAAGAGTAATTTGAGAATGTTTTCTTGGGCAATGAGTTTTAAGGCTTGATTGCACTTCTTTTTTAATTTTAGGGTTTTTTAGTTATGATTTTCGGGCTTAGGGTGAACCAATTAAATTTGGTTCCCCCAAGCAATTTTCTCTTTTTTTTTTGAAAATTTCTTTAAGGACCCAAAATATGGGACCAATAGGGGGACAAGTGAGGTGTCCCTCTCCTATTGGATAATGAGTTGGTCATTATTAATGATGGCCAACTCATTATCCAATAGGAGGGGACACTTCACTTGTCCTCTAGCAAATATTTTTTTTTTCCCACCCAACACAGGGTAAACCGGAGGGCAATTCCGTCCACGAGCACCGGAGGCGGAGTCCTCTCCTGTCCCAGATGAGCACTCACCAAAATAGAAGAACTTTAACAAACGAACAAAAATAGAATAAAGAACCTTATATCAGAACCCAAAGCGGCCCCTTTGTCTTTCTCCTATCCCCCTCTCTCCCTCTCTCTCTCTCTCTGCCCCTCTTCACTCTCCCTTTCTCTCTCTAGCAATGACCAGCTCTTCTGCCCCTTCTCGCAAAGTAATGATCTTTTTCTCTCCTCTCCCAAAAAATTTCAAACCCTAATTTGATTTCTCTATCGATTGCAGGCCCTAAGCAAGATCGCATGCAATCGTCTCCAGAAGGAGCTCGTCGAGTGGCAGGTCAATCCCCCCGCCGGATTCAAGCACAAGGTCTCCGATAACCTCCAGAGGTTAGGGTTACGATTTAGGGTTTTGTTATTGGTCTCTTTTTTTTATTTGTTCTCGATTAAAATTTGATTGCTTGTTCTTCTAAATGATCGTGAAGATGGGTTATTGAGGTTAATGGAGCGCAGGGTACTTTGTATGCCAATGAGACTTATCAGCTTCAGGTTGATTTTCCTGAGCATTACCCTATGGAAGCGCCTCAGGTGATGGAAAGACTCGGCTTTTATTGATAAATTTTGTGTTTTTGGGAGAATTGGTTTGTTACTGATGGGAAAGATGTGGGTTTTGTTTGATGGGTTTTGTTGATCAGGTGATTTTTCTGAACCCAGCACCGTTGCATCCGCATATCTACAGCAACGGGCATATTTGTTTAGGTAATTCTTGATTGGGTTGTTGAATTTGGTTTTCTTATCTTTTGTGTTTAGTCTGTGTTGGATTTGTTATCAGTTTGGTTCTTTGCTTGTGTGAGAAGTGTTCCCGTTAATCCTTTCTTGGTGTAGTTGTTGGCGTAATGTTTTTTTTATGAGAAGTCTGGTATCTTTTGTATCTATGAAGGGGCTATCCTTTTCTCGTAGTTTATTTTCTATTCTCATTTTTGGTTGGTAGAAGATGGATATCTGCCTATTATATTTCCTTGTTTGCAGCTTAAAGCAAATGCCATAATGGAAAGGGGGTGTCATTGCTTTTTATCTGCCTTCATAGTTTATTTCTTTAGGATGTATAATCATGCGGCGAGAGATGAGGATTAAGATTATCTTACGACTTTGTGATAGACACGCTGCATTCACGGTCTCTGTTGCTTCAGCTTAGGTTTACATTCGGACACGAGACTTCAAACTCCATGAAAATCTTCGAATCCTATTTTACTGCAAGTGACACATTTGCTTCAAATGTCAGCATGATTGCATCTACTGTCTGATACCATGGGATTACTTCAGTAGTTAGATTAAACAACCACCTCCATCCTGTCAACTTACTGAAATTTTCTGCATCTTGTTTTGTAACTAAAGACATCCTGTGCAACTTATTTTGCAGACTGTAAACTCTACTATTTCATTTTTAGTTGTACAGACCTGGATGCAATGAAACAAATAGAACTATGAAATTGGTCACTTGTAAAGTTTTGTGTTACTGCATACGCAGCAATAGTACTAAACAAGCCTAAGCTGGTCTATGCCTTTTGCAGCATAGAGTAGTGATGCTGTTAGATCTTCCATTTTTTGGTCCCTCGACGTGCAGGGCCTCCTCTTGCGGCTCTAGATACGTAGATAACTTTATGGTCAATTTCACAGTTCCTCATGCTAAATGGAAGAAAACTCTAGCTAATCGTCTATTAATCTTGTCTCTTCTACCATCCTTTTGTTTGATCTAGTCATTTGTTACTTTTTCCTCTCTTTAATGATGTATTAGCTAGTTGCCTCGCTGTCTTGGTAATGCATATTGACTTGACTGTTTCGTGAACTCTTCCACTTGCATGATTATAGGTCCTGAAGATTAGTTAAACATTTTAACGATGTAAACTGTAAAATGTAAATTTTGATTGATTTAGAATGTAGCATAATTTAATTTTTATAGTGGAGTGCTTTTGAAAAATTTGAGACGGAATGCATCTGAATCAATTGAAGTAACCAAAGACCTATAGAAGATCATAGCAAGGCTGATATAGTTAACTAGCTTCTTCAAATGTATATTCAGATGTATTGGAAAAACAAAAACTAATTTAGAACTCTGATAATATTTGACAAATAAAATTGTTCCACTTTGTCTCATTGGCCATTAAATTATGAAATGATGATGGGACCTAATTGTTAATAAAGAACGGCAATGTCCAGAAGCTGATATGATGTTTGCTAGTAATGAGGTTAAGACAGTGAACTGATTTCTAGTAATACAATTATGCATGCTACAAAAGCCATGAGAGAATTTTGGGGACGAAGGATGATAAGTTTACTGAAACATAACATTGTGTTTGTTAGCAAAATGTATAATAGGATAATTACCATAAGTGACAGCGATACATCTTTTAACAAGTATGATTGGACCATCCTATTGACTGGCCACTTACTTTTATTTGTTTGTGTTTAGTCAAGAGTAACTAATTGCTGATGTGCAGGGCTTCAGATCTCAAAGAACCACTGTAAGCTAAGTTGCAAAGGTATGGGTATGGGTGTGGGTACGGGTACGGGTACGGGACACAACAAATTTGTAAAAGGTAGAGTACGGGGACACGGCTGAAACTAATGGGATTCTGAGCTTAACATGTAAACGACCCTTTTAAATCGTAGCTCTTAAGGTTGAAACGAACTCGACCCTTATCCAACAAGTTACAAAAATGGATGTCAAGTGTAGGATATATCCAAGGAGTGTATGACAAGTGCTTTTAATTAAACATGCATTGTATAATAGCGTATTTGTCTGAATAAATATATGCATATATTAAAGAAGCGTCCAAGAAGTGTTGGGTACAGGTATGGGTATGACATGTGTGAGGTGCAGGTATGATTCCATATTAGAAGTACCCAGGAAACACAGACGGTAAGTATTGACAGTAAGGTGTTTATTTATGACTTGGGTTAAGAAAACAACTATCTGTTGGAGGATAGTTTTATATGCAGAAATGAATGGGACAGTAAGGTGTTTATTTAGTCGACGATATTATGACCTGAATAAGAGTGAGCAGAAAATATATGAATGATGTGTTTGTGTCTTTCTGTTTCTTTTTTAAAGTAAAGCGAAGAAAGATGTTTGTTGCAAATGATTTGAGCAGATGAAGTCAATAGTTTATCCTTTGAGCTATGTGAGTGCTCGTAGGACTTATTTAGCAGAATATAGAGAACATTAATTATGTGTGAATGCTATGGTTCTGCAGTGAATAGTCCAATCACATGATTGATTGATCTGGTATAATTTAGCAGTAGTATGATGTGTGATAAAGTGCCACTTTTAGCAATATTTGAGTAAGAAATTCATCATTTTGCATACATAAAAGCTGAGAACGTCAAGCAAGGGAGAGCTATTAAACTTAGAAAAGGTGGATGTTAGTTGTGGCCGATTTATTGCCTGTCGCTTACATATAACATGTATTTATTTTGATAAAAATGTATATGCTTAATAAATTAAGCATAAACTAAGCAGATCTCCAAGTTTAGTTTTTTTTTCCACCTGTCTATTTGGCATTCAAAATTGTCTGATTGTGATGGAAAATTGCATTTGATGACTGATATCGAGAAGTTTATTTATTTATTTATTTTGCTCAAAGTTTATTGGTTTCTGATTTTGATTACATTTTTTTCAACTTTTCACATTGTTTTGCTATTATTTAGTATTTACACTATCACTATAATGTTCCTTGTCATGAACTCTACACAACTAATTTAGAACTAAAAGTATAATCTTTCTGTTTCATATTTGTAACTTAGCCTTAAAATAAGCTGAGTGGACAGGATATTCTTCTTCGCTACAATTATAACATATACAAAGCTACAAAACATTCAAAAGCGCCTCATATTCTTGGAACTAGTTATGTCCATGTTCCATTAAGTTTAGGTGGATTGAAGAGGTTTGATCTAGAATTCTAGTGTCTAGCCATGTGTACTAGTCAACGCCTTCTGTGTTCTCATATGTCAAGTTAATCTAGTGTTGGGCATAATCCTTTGATGGTAGATGCATACTGTGATCCTCTTTGACAGTGGATTTTCAACTTTTTAGCTGATACTTTATTTCAGTCAATAGCTTTTATCAATTATGCTATTACTTGAACTGCAAGTTAAAATCATATTCTACCTTGAATGGAAATACGGCAGAATACGTTCTGTAGTCTTCTCAGACATGGTTCTTGTGTGAGACTCTGCCACTGATTTTCTAGCAGTTATGTGCCTTATAGGGCCTTGTTGCAAAAAAAGCCTGCATAAGGCCAGAGAAAACATATGCAGAGCTAGGTATAGGAATTTTTTTTAATGAGGGAACTTCCCCATGATCTTTTGGACTAGGGGTATCAAATCTCTGGGCATTGCTAAGGGGCACCTCTCAACCCAACACATGGCCTTGGGTATTCTAGGAAATCAATTTCCTATGGGTGCTCCGTAAGCGAGTCAAACCTGAGACCTTCGCCTACTATTCATAGGCAGCTTACCTACTCAGCTGGACCCTCCTAGGTTAGGTATAGGATCTTTAATTGTGTTAAATTCCACATGTGAACGTTACTGGCATCTATCCAAATTACATTATCTAAAACTGAAGACAATCTATATCCTAAGTTAGTGGCTGCTGATGTGATGTTCTGATTTATCATGGATATGGATTTAGAAGAGTCTATTCTCCAAATTTCGAGCACAAGGAGCACTGCATACTTCATCTTTTGATATTTCCTGAGGAAATAAATTCAGAAGCATGTTTGACGTGTACCTTTGAACTTTGAGTTTGTCCAGGTACAAGTACAATAATAAAATATTCAAATGTTGAGGAAACACAAAACACAGGTTACTTCTTTTCTTGATATTTCTTAATAAACAAACTCAGATGCATCAGGAAATCTTGGAAGTGTCAAGTTGAAGGTGTTGAACTCCCAAGTTGTAGGAGGGACAAGTGTCATAGTAACATAGCTTATATAGACTAAACAAGGAACATAGTTAAAGATGCTAGCAGCTACCAGCTAGGCACCATTAGATATCAAAGAGGACTGCCTAGATACTAAGCACCTAGGCACGGCTGAAAAATTAAGAAGAAATTGTTTATTTGGAGGGGGAAAAAAGCTCATGATAGATTTACATGTTTGTTCAAGTAATAATGGAAGTCTGAATTTTTAAATTAAATTCCAGCTGTAGACTTCTCCATCATTCATAAATGATACGGCTAAAGTTGATTTGCGTGCAATATGCTTGTCCGGTCTAATGCTTTCAAATAGCGACATATTCTGTCTCTATAAACTCTCTTACGGGCTTCAGAGCACCTTATCAAGCCTAAGAGGTGGAGGAGACAACAAAAGGACTAAAATATGCCCCCTCATACATTAGTTTTTATCAGTCGGTTTGACGATGGAACTTCCCTACGATCCTTTGGACCATGGGTGTCCAGACCCACCACCCCCCCCATGCGTGGTATGGGGCGACGCCCCCCCCCCCCCCCCCCCCAAAAAAAAAAAAAGGGGAAAAAAGACCACATGGCCCGTCGAGTATTCTAGGAAATTAAATTCTTATGGATGCTCCCTAGTAGAGTTGAACTGGAGTCCTTAGGTTACTATTCATAGGCAACTTACCAACTTGGCTAGACCCTTTTGGGTCTTTGTATCTCCTACTGAAAGTAGGGTTTTGATGAATGTTTTTTTAATCTACTTTTCCTAACTTGTAGCATTGAAAATCAACTTAAAAGTACATACAGAATCAATTTAAAGGTACATACCTAAATCAAATTATAACTATGAAGTTTTTATCCAACTTTTTGAAGAATCTAATCCTGTGTTACAAAATATAGGCATCGTAACCCTGCTTAAAAAGTTCATCTCTGCTTTATACCTTTGCTTATTTTAAACTTGACTCTATCCAAATTTTGTGCATTTGGCAACTAGTTCGGCTTTTACATAACATGCATATTGTAACAATTAACGATTTATGTTTTATACTTGTGTATATTGGCTGTTTCTATGTTTGATAGTTTATAATGTCATGTACCATTATTATTTTCAATTTTGGAATATTTTGTTTGTCGAAGTATCATGCTATGCGATTTATATGCTGAGTTTATTCGTGTCTGTCTTTGCCCCTCGTGGATCTGTGAACTAAACTTACGTAAAGCTTTTATTTTTATATTCACTAATTCTGTCAACAACAGACATTTGGCTATGCCATCATTTCGATATACTCTTACTAACAGGCTCAATTTGGCAGATATATTGTATGATTCATGGTCCCCTGCAATGACAGTAAGTTCAGTGTGCATCAGCATCCTTTCCATGTTATCGAGCTCTACCGCAAAGGTTTCTTCTCTTTTCTCCTCATTCCTTTAATCTCTCTTGGCATTCTTGCTCCTTCTCTGACCGTTATATACCCTTTTTTTTTGTATTGCAGCAACGCCCAGCTGACAATGATCGGTACGTGAAGAATTGTAGGAATGGTCGGTCTCCAAAGGAGACGAGATGGTGGTTTCATGATGACAAGGTTTAATAACTTTGGCTGTTCTTGTGGAGTAGAGTGATTGTTGACTCCCTACGGTTTGTGAAACTGCTGCAAGCAAAACAAAAAAATTACTGTGTTATTTGTATAGGAAATGATAGGTGTACCGATCTGAATTATCTTACTGTATAAGGAACAATAAGTCCAAGCCGAACCATTTCTGATGGGAATATGTCAAACTTACTGTGTTCTTAACTAGTTTTGTGGAGGTGGTGTGGGGCCCAAGGGATGTAATAAATCCTTAATGGAAGGCACGACGAGGGCAACCTCCTTGCTGGGTAAGCATAGTTCTCTTTTAACGTTCAGGCGTAATTAGTTCACAGTCTGTGCCTTTTTTTTTAATTTTTGGGAGTTAAAATGATCATAGATCCTGTATATTATCGGTGGTATGGAGTTACGATCCCTATGGTTTCCTTATTGCATATAGACCTTTTGCTTTATTTATTTATCTTTACTCTCTTACCCTTGGTTAAATTTGGATATCTGAGAACAGTGAGTCCATCTGAGGCTAAAATAGCGAAACATTTGACTCAGATGGTCTATCCGTGTCGATGAAGCCACATGGGCTTGTGAGTTCAAACCAATGGTACCATTTGGAGTCTACGCGCAATGAGCCCTTCTGTTTTCCCTTCATGATTTCACCATTTTTCGTACTATGCCCTTTACAGATACGGAACGTTGATGTTTGGATTTATTTCTGATATGGCTGTATACCATATCAACTTCTAATATTTATGACTCATTTACGAGGTAGTGTAGAAAGAGTAGTGATAATTGCATTATTATTATTACGCTAATTCTACACTAGATGAGAGAAAATGCGGGGTCCGTTCTTTTCAAAAATTTTTCATAATCGATTACTAGAGAGATTTTTGCACGTGGTAATTACTTAATTCTATTATTTTCTACATAAATCTAAAGTGTTTTAGAAGAGTCTGGAATGTTCTAGAACTTTTCGGAACATTCCGGAATGCGTAGAGTTCTTTAGAATATAATAGAGTGTTTTAAAATAGTGTGGAGAGTACTAAAATGCATTGGGAAGTAGTAGAATGTAATATGGTATTATAGAGAAGTATGAAACTATGAGGGATGCACAAAGTTTTAGGGGGTGTTTGTTTCAAATCCTATAATTTTAGGATATGGATTTCAACATAGGATTTGAAATCCATTGGTTTTTTTGTTATGGATTGGGATTCCTAAAACTATGTTTGTTTCATCAATATTTTGGGATTTGAAATGCTATAATTTGTAAATTCTTGTTTGTTTCAAACTCAAATTGTAGCATTACAAATTTTAGAATTTGAAATCCATAGTTGTAACAAACAAGTTTTAGGATTACCAAAATAATAAATGGTGAATATAAGAACTTTGGTGAGCTTACCTCCCACAAAAAAACACCTACAACATACAAGGTTCAGATTCAGTTTGTTTCAGGCCCCTTTAACAAAAATTAAACAAGACCTTTCCAGACACAAGCAAGTTGGACCCAAGAACACAAGCAAGCAGCCGCAAACAAGCATGCTCACAAGCCATCAAACATGCTCAGTGCTCAATCTGAAACGAAAAAGCTCAGTAACAAGCCCACGAGCAACCATTGAAACAAACTGAATCTGAAACAACCAACTCGCAAGCCATCAAAAACATGCTCAGAAACAAGCTATAACTCAAACAACAAAGGCTCAGACAAGCAACCATTAGAAAACTCATAATATTACCAAGGTAGGGGCTCAGATATAGGTATTAAAATTGAATACATGGATTGCCTCATCTAACAATGATGTTGCAATGGAGCTTGCAATCACATGAATGGATTGCCTCACCTAACATTGTAAATGCAATGTAGGTTGCATTCTCATCTTAGATTGCCCTACCTAAACAAAGCAAAACATTGTAGATTGTATTCTCATAATATGACCATCATCATTGCCCAAATTGAACAATACAAAATAGTCATACCAATACATATCGTGCAATGTAGGTTGCTATGAAGTATCATATCCATCCATATGAATATAAACCTGCAAAAGAACCCAAGCTCATATTCAGTTTATACAAAATATTACCATTAAGTATCATTTTCTAATGGTTGCTTGTGAGCTTGTTTCAGATTGCTTCAGATTCAGTTTATTTCAGATTTAGTTTGTTTCAGGCCCCTTTAACAAAAATTAAACAAAACCTGTTCACACACAAGCAAGTTGGACCCAAGAGCAGCTCAGATTGGATGTAAAACCCACAACAAACCAAGACTGCAAGCAAGCAAGCAACAAACCAATACTGCAAGCTCCTATAATCTTCACAAACGATATGTTTTGGCCAAGACTGCAAGCAAGCAACAGCAAGCAACAACCAGTCTACAAACAAAAGTTCATAACGTTATCGTCATAGCCACAAATCCATATGGACCAATCATCATAGCCGCCATAAAAAACATGCTCAGTAACAAGCTCACAAGCAACCATTAGAAAACAAACTGAATCTGAAGTTGTGACCTGAATCTGAAACAACTTGATTCTGAAACAAACTGAATCTGACACAAGCTCACAAGCAAATCCATTTAGCACAAACTGAATCTGAAACAAAGAAACCCTGTAACAAGCTCACAAGAAACCATTGAAACAAACTGAATCTGAAACAATTTGTGCCTAGCACATCCTGAGTCTGAAACAAACTGAATCTGAAACAAGCTCACAATCAAATCATAGAAAACAAACAAGTAATCAAGGTAGGGGCTCAGATATAGGTATTAAAATTGAATACATGGAATTGAAAACATGCCTGAGAACTATAGGACTATCTTTGTCATGATGGCAGTAGCCTCTACAACCTGCACAAGATACACAATCATGGAAGTTGAGTCAGAGTTTGACAGAGGCCTATCTGTAAGGCATAATTATTCATGAAATCACACAATTACAAACGCATAGTCTGTAATGGCCAAAGGAGAGGCTGCTTACACTAGTTCCGACAGCATGCACAGGGACACTACCGACAAGGATAAAATCATCTGAAATCAGTAGAGAAGAGGCATGTAGTGATATTATATGAATGAAGATGATATTCATCGAACTCCAGGAACAAACATGATCAAACCAATAAAGATATCCCACTCCTTATAAAAAACAAAACAACAGAACAACTAAGATAGTGCATTTGAACTAGTTGATCCAATAACAAAAAGCAAGCCATATTACCAACAACTCATATAACCAAGGCTGCAAGCAAGCAGCCGCAAACAAGCAGGATGGACCCATCATCATAGCCTCAAATCCTTACGTGACCAATCATCATAGCCCCCATCAAAAACATGCTCAGTAACAAGCTCACAAGCAACTATTAGAAAACAAACTGGTTTTAAAACAAACTAAAGCTAAAACAACCTGAACCTAAAACAACCTGAATCTGAAATAAACTGAGTGCTGAAACAATCTGAATAATTGTGCTCACAAGCAACCATTAGACAAAGAATGCAACATTTTCTTGAAAATAAATATGAAACTGAAACTGAAACTGAAACCATAGAAAACAAGCAAGCTCACAAGCTCATAAGCAACTAAGCTCAACGACAAACTTAAACTGAAACAACCAAGCTCACAAGCCATCAAAAACAAGCTAAAAAACAAGCCCAGTGCTCAAATAACCAAGGCTGCAACAATCTAAGGCTGCAAGTAAACCCATAACAAATCAAGGCTGCAACAAACCAAGAAATGAACAAGGCTACAAGCAAACCCACAAGCAAGCAGCTCAAATAACCAAGGCTGAAACAAACCAACAAGGTTGTGGTCTACTTGCAGCTCAAATAATCAAGTATCATAGCTGAAACTGAAACTGAAACCATGGAAAACAATCAAGCTCACAAGCAACCAAGGCTCATAATAGGACCAAGGTAGGGGCTCAGATATAGGTATTAAAATTGAATACATGGATTGCCTCATCTAACAATGATGTTGCAATGGAGGTTGCAATCACATGAACGGATTGCCTCACCTAACATTGTAAATGCAATGAAGGTTGCAATCACATGAATGGATTGCTTTACCTAACATTGTAAATGCAATGTATGTTGCATTCTCATCCTAGATTGCCCTACCTAAACATAGCAAAACATTCTAGATTGCATTCTCTTAACTAAGACCATCATCATTGCCCACTTTGAAGACAACCATGTAGCCATACCAATACATAACGTGCAATGTAGGTTGCTATCAAGTATCATATTCATCCATAATTTGCATCAAGTATCATAAGATATGGATACATAAACCTGCAAAAGAACCCAAATTATAATGAGATACCATCATCTTCTTGTGTTTCTTATAAAACACCAAGTATCTTAAGGATAAAAATAAGAGTGACGGTGGGAAAGAACAAAACATTATGCTAATATTACTATATACATGTTCAGCATACATAATTAGTTTCTGACCTGCAAAAAAACCAAAGTTATAATGATATTGCAATTAGAGTAGTGAAATATGCAAGATATTGGCAAAAGCAGTGAAATATGCATAAAGTTACACCGCTAAGTGTTCAACTTACATAATTAGCAACATAAAGCTACACCACTAAGTGTTCAACTTACAAAATTAGTTACAAAATTAAGTTGTTAAATATACAATGAGTTTACAAAAGTAATAGATATGTCAAGTCTTCAAAAGTAGTCCAATATCAAGTTTTCATAAGTCAAACCCTTGCTCGTTGATAATCTTCTCCATAAATAGCTTTTGAGAATTTTTGGTTTTGATGATCAACCTCCTAGATTCTGATTCATGGTCATACAAGTAATCAAGCACTTTATCCAATACCCCCTCAGAAAATTCATTCTCATGCGTCATTAGAGCATTCGCCATGGTCTCACTCCAATGCACAACACGTTGATTTACATGTTGATTTTGAATTGAGAACAACATCGTGTCAATGATACCACGCATGAGAGTCTCATCCTCTTTAGCCTTGCTACTCTTCTTCCTAGGAGTTGATGTATCAATTGATGCAGAAGCTACCCCACTAGAAGCCTTCAAATTTTTACCTTGAGAGTTGTGGTTTTGCCCAATTGATTTCTTGGGCTCAAGACGTGGGCTTGAGGACAAATCAACCTCATTATCTCTAAGTGTTACATGATCCTCATCTCTATCTGTATCATGTTGTCTAGATCCAAGCTTTTCAGTCATATCTTTGGTGAAATCACCCTTTGCTTGGTCATCTCCCGCGATATAACACAAGTTCTCATAGTGAATGAGAGGAGTGTTCAAATATTCCTTCAATCTAGAGCTATTGCATTTTTTGTCCTATACAATGAAAATTGCAAAATCAGATACTCAGA